ACAAATTTTTGGTTCAATATATTAAAAAATCATTTCCCCATCCCTTTTTTCACATAAAAAACCCCCAAGAGAGGCTACAGTATAAACGTGTTGGGAAATTTATTTTGGGGAAACTTGCTCCAACATTTTTAAAATTGTATGCCCCTGCGAAAAATTTTAATTTCTTGGGCCCCAATTGTCTCATTCTGACCCTACCTTAATTGGCGTTTAAAATTTGGAGAACAAAAGCTTTTAAAAACTCACGGGTTTGGTAATCGTAATCAATAAAACTGTTGTCACTCTTAAACAGTAAAGAAAAATGTCCCAAATTGTGGGTGCCCCTTAAAACCCACACATATCTATGGAGGGGGTCCTTGATCTGTGTCGGGGCTTCAACATTATTTTTCTGCCAGCTTTTGAGTTTTCCATTGTAACAGAATAGCGTCTGATCTTTTCCCCAAAGGGCCCAAACCCTTCTAGATAGGTAATACTATTCTCCCGGGGTGGGATATTCAAAGGGAAAACCGTTTTAAATTTTTTCCCCTGATAAACATGATGATTTTTTGGCCATGTAACTGCGGGGGTATTTTTTCCCTTTGGGGTGAAACCTCTGTCGAGACTTTTAAAAAAAAGACCTTTTTGAGCAGTTTTTCCCAAAAACTTTTTGGGGGCCCTTTCTGAAAACCTCCTATACTTTAAACCCAAAAATGACTTCCATAATAATCAAAAAGTTTTAAAAAAAAATCAAAACCTATTTACAATGATTCTAAAATTCGAACATTGAAACGTACTGCTCCAGGGGTAGGCCTAGCCTATAGAAACCCTCGTACCCCCCCGAAATGCTGGGGCCTTTCCCCAAAATGCCCCTTTCTGGGTGCCCGAGAGCGTATGACGGGGCTGCCGGGGAAAACAGGGCTTTGGGGAACCCTTTTTTCAAAGGGCTCCAAAGCTCCACCCCCACTTAGGGCCGGGGATGGAGGGACATAAAAAGAATTAAAGGGGAACAGAACTGGGCAGCTCGCGCACCCTCATCCCTTGCAAAGGGGGAATTTAGGGTTTGTCCCGTGCTTGGGCTGGGTACCCTCTGCTATGACAGTCTTTCCCCGTACCACACAAAGGCGAAATTAAAGGACAAATATGATGCAAAGGGGAGAGACTTGTTTGCTTTTTGCTCAGCAAGGCCCGTGAAAAGCAAATTCCTTTTAAATAATTTTGAAAATTGATGCAGCCCCTAATTTTTGGGCCCAAATTCCCCCGTCGCCTGGTTTAGGATGGTTTACTGACAACTACTCAGGGTTGCTGGTCGAGTAAACCCGGGAATTTCCTTTTTCTTTAAAATTGGAAAAACATGGTTTTTGTCATGGGGGGGCTCCCCAAATCATGGGAGCAAAAGCCTCCCTTATTCCCATTCCGAAGCCCAATCAAAAAAACTCATTTCGCCCCCAAAATCCCTTTCTAGCCCGCTTGTGTAAAAAATTTGAAAGGGTGATTCTTAATCGTTTATGCACGAATTAAGGGAATTCCCTTTTCTCCCCGGGTTTCATTTGGCTTCATGATTAAGGAGTTTGCCCCTCATTGCATTAAACCCCCTTTCCACCTGCCCCACTGACACTCATACACTACCTTCCCTTTACCCCCCAAAATCCGCTTTTTATGTTGCCAACCGACATGTAAACATTTTGTGAACTTTGGGGGGCCCGAAGGGGTGTTGGGGGATGGCTTTTCCCCCTGGGTTAAGGTTACCCGTCCAAAAGAAAAATCGTCTGTGTGTTCCAGGGACATAGAAAAGAAAATTTAAAATTTTTAAAATTAAAGGGAAAAACCCCCAGGGGGGTGTGCCTTAGTCCCACCCTTTTCCCCAAAATTTTGATTAATTCCCTTTCTTTTAAAGCCTGCCTAGCCCGCCCCCTATGGTTGGGTTTTTCTGAGAAAATAATGAAATTTAAAAACCAAACCGGGTTTTCCCCAAAACCCAAAACATTCTTAATTTTATGTACTGCCTCGTTTTCAGGACCTTTGGTTTTAATTTAAATTTAGGGGATAAAACAAAGATATCAAAGGGGGCCCCCTCGGGAGAGAGGCCCCAGTTCGTCAGATCCAGTTGCATTATGGGCCTCTTCTAGAATATGTAAGCCCAAAACAGGGATCTAAAAAAATTTGGGGGTTCCACACTTGGGCATGGGTTGGGCACGAGACTTTGTCGCCAATACCAAAAATGAAAAGGCCCCTTTGATTTTTGGCAGGTTTTTTATCCCAGGGATGGAGGGTAATGTTAAAATTTGAAAAAGAAGTATCCGCCCATTATATTTAAAAATTGGTTGATTATGCGGGGCCACTACTTGCACTCCCTGTCTGACTGGGGAAACTTGAAGGGGTGGAAAAAAATGCCAAAAAAGAAGGGAATAGTATCATCCTAGGGTGCCCTCGTAAATGCCCAAAAATTTTAAAAAAATGCGTAAAAAAACTTAATTTCCAAGCTTAGAGATCTGTTACGAAAGAAATTCCTTAAATTTGGGGGCAATATGCTTAGGCCCAGCCCATTCAAACCCCTGCACAGAACCCTCCCAAAAATTCCTACACTGGGGGGAAAACCTTCCAGAAGGATGGAAAAAAAATGGAACCGCCTCCGCATGAAAACCCCTAAATGATCTATATCAAGTTAGAAAAACAGAGACATTTCCCTGCTCCATGGGATATTACCCATTCCCCAAAAATACCATTCCTCCATTTCCCCCCAAAATCTTCTTAAAAACACAACCAAAGCTTCGTCTTTTAAGCCAAACCTGATGCCTTAAGCTGTATTTTATAAAATTTAGTCACACAAAAACCCTTTTTTCACAAATTTTTACGTTTTAAGGTTTGTTCACCCGTCCATTTGGGGCAGGGTGGTAGTTTTCTGCGTTTTCACAAGAGTGATGGGTCTCATAAAGAAATTTGGGGCACCCCATCAATAAAAATGGGGCCCCCCTTTTCCCCTTCAAACAGAACTTTTTGCCATACTCCTTCCCCTCAAATGTTTTCCAGGGATCTAAGGTTTTAAAAACTTTTTAAAAGTAACGGGTTTCTGTCATCCCAAAAAAGCCTTTTCAATTTTATTAAATATAAATTTTGGGGATGGCCCTTTTGTCGAAGCCAGACATAGGTATGGGTAAGATTTGGGACAGTGGAGTCAGAGGGGCACATCTGTTGGGTTCCATCTCACATTGGGCTTCAGATGCATGATAGAACTGATAAATTGGCTAAACTGTTGCTTTCAAAGGGGGGGGGGAAATTTTGATTACAATCTTGAGTTGTCCGTTTGCAGGGTTGGGGAACAATTTAAAACAAAAGAACTTCAAATGAACTTTGTTGACTTAAGACTTAGGGAGATTGAACACAAGCAGTTCATCTTTCATCAAACCATCATTTTAGGAGGGCCCCCCAAAGTCTATGGTGCATCCCAAAAAGATAAGCAGGGCTCTTGGATGTCACTACCCCGCCCGGCTCCCGGCTGGGTTTTCAAAAATTTTTATGGCAGGGTTTTTAAAACAAACCCCCCACCCGATTAGACCAAACGAAAAGTTTAAAATTTGCCAGTTTGGGTATTGTTTTCCCCACCTTGGGGCAATTTTTGTACTGGGGTGTGAACAAAATTAATGAATTTTTGAAACAACTCACTCAGAAAAGTTCAAGAAATGGGGAAAATTTTTTTATCCACAGTGGTTAAAATTTTTGGGCCATTCTGGAGAAATAAACCTGAAATTTGCTAGCGTAAATAATCCCTTTCCCTTGTGTGTGTGTGTGGTGTGTGGTTTTGTGTGGGGGTGGGGGTTTGGGGGGGTGTGTGTTGTGTGTGTGTGTGGTTTTTGTGTGTGTTGTGGGGTTGTGTGGGTGTGGTTTTGGGTGTGTGTGGGTGTGGGGTGTGTGTGTTGTGTGTGTGTGTGGGTGGGTGGGTGGGTGGGTGGGGGTGGGTGTGTGGGTTTTGGGTTTTGTGGGGTGTGTGGTGGTGTGTGTGTGTGTGTGTGTTGTGTGTGTGTGTGTGGGTGTGGTGTTTTGTGTGTGTGTGGGGTGGGGTTTTGTGTGTTTTGGAGAGAGAAGACTCAACAATCAAATTTCACCAATTTCCCCAACTACATTGTGACCCGGGGGTGGAAGTGGGGAATTCCATTACCTATAATTTGTTTTTGGGTTGTTTGCCATGTTAAAAAAACGTAAGTAACCCTTTCCCTTTCAGAATTTATTAAATTTTTTAAATTTTGACCCCATTACCTTCGTACCCAGTTACTATCAAAACTTTGGGGGGCCCCGTCCCCGGACCCATTCGTACCTCTGTAATCGTAAATACCTTTGTAACTTGTCATGATTGTGACCAGACCTACCCGGGTTCTTTAACCCCTTTTTAAAAATTTTGAGTTCATTACCTTTTGTAACTTGCTCGCTATCAAAACTTTGGAGTTTTAGTCCCTGGACCCAAATTTCGTACCCTTTTTTTATCTTTTGACTACCGCCCACAGGATGGGTTTTGAGGTGCATAATAACATATTAAACTAAACTATTAGGTGAACTATTTAGTGATTAATTATTGATGATATTTCAAAGGTTATGGTAGGAGCCAAATAGGAGGGGGCGTTTGGGGAAAAATTTTGAGTCGATAGCTAGTAACGTTGGGATGGGCCCTTTAGATGTTTGGGAAGGCTGCCCCAAAAGCCCTTTTTCATAACACGGGGGTTTATTAAAAAAAGTAGTTTAAAATGTCAGTAACCCTCATTGTATATTATTTCAGTGTTTTACTTTATAGAACTAAGGTTTGTTTAGTTCCTACTGTAGTGAAGAAGTTTAAATTTATTAACAGTATTAATAATTGCTTTAGGAACATTATTTTTTTATTGATTCTTCTTTAACCTTAGAATTTAAGAGAGGTTTTCTATGTTTATAATAGTTCTTCTGGAGTAATTAAACTTGTTGGATAGTAATTTTTCTTTGAAACTAATTACTCTTGTAAAACATAGTATTACTTTATAGTTAACCTGTTAAATACTGACCTTCATAGTAAGCAAGCAGCCAATGAGAGAGAGAAGGTTGTAGAGTGCATGGTAAGCCTCGACCCTGAGTGTGAGGGAGTGTGTGAGGTGTGAGGCTCCCAGGAGCACCACAGTGAAGATCAACGTCAGTACGAGCACCAACCACAGCTTCACCCTGGGCATGAACCTCAACACCTCGCTCTTGGCCATCCTTCTAAGCACCACCTACTGCCTATTGTAAGCACTCACACTGGTTGAAGACACAGATTTTCCTTCACTGGAGATTTATAAATAATACATTAATTTTGCAATGCTACACTCCTAAACAGAATACGGTTATATGTTATAGATTATTACTAAATACATAAATGCTCCAAACACATGTGGGTCGTATAACGCCACATTAGGAAGTGTTAAGAGTGGGTTCATGTACTAAAAAGCGAAGTCTGTGATGAAGGGGGGACTTCCCGAGAGAGTGGTAACCATATTCTTTGATAAACGGGATAAGTCTAAAGGTATTTGATCCACATCCTCTTGCGATACCGTCCGCAGGATGGATATGGGGTTTGTAGATGAATGGTTCAGAGAACCGACATATTGATAAATTAGACACATGTGCAACTCTTGGGTATCTTTATTGAGGAAACGTTTCGCCACACAGTGGCTTCATCAGTCCATACGAAGGAGAAACTTGAAGAACAGGAGGAGAATGAGGTAATCAGTCCCTTAACCTTGAGTCGATGTGATGAATGGTTTGAAATAGAATGATTCTATTCAAGATTGATGGACTGAACACATCGACTCAAGGTTGAGGGACTGATTACCTCATTCTCCTCCTGTTCTTCAAGTTTCTCCTACGTATGGACTGATGAAGCCACTGTGTGGCGAAACGTTTCTTCAATAAAGATACCCAAGAGTTGCACATGTGTCTAATTTATCAATGGATATGGGGTGCACAATAAACTAGCCACTTCGATGTCAAAATCTAAAAATCTATCAAAAAGACTTGCCACCTCTTACAAAGAGGAACCAGGTGTTTTTCCATGAAAGGGCCATGTTCAGTGAGTCTCGTGTGTCTCAGTTACAACAGAGCTTCCTGCTTGCCTGAGCAGTAATGCCATTTACTGCAAGTCCCCCCCCCCCTAAAAAATCGTTTGCCAGGGAAACTATCCTGATGTGGGTTTATTCAGAGTATCTCTAAAAACTGTCAATATTTATAGCTGTTGTCATTGACTTGTTCAGATTTATGTCCATTGTAGAGTATTTGAGTTTCATCACCACTGGCATGGAGCTGTTGAGACGGGATGTGTATCTCGACTCAATAACTATACATAACATCGTTATTTATTGATGGGGCAGCGCTTTATGACCCTTACGGGTTTAGTACTTGATTATGAGTATAATGCTAATTATTGATAGGGAGAAGAGGTTCTCTTGAAGGCTGGATATGCTGCTAAAAGAGGCATCAACGTTCTTAGTTAAAACACGCTGATCTGTCCTAACGAAGCTCACTGCTTCCTACCCTTCATTGTTAATTAACGAACTTTATTGCTCCATTCTTTTCATTGTTAATTATCGAACTTCTTCCTATTCTTCATTGTTAATTAACTATTATAATCATGGGGAAGCGCTAAACCCGTAGTATTATACAACGCCTGTGGGGGGGAAGGAAGCTATTCAGGCTTAATTCAGGGAACTGGAGCACAGATCCAATCCCCTAGATCAAGAGCCCCTCGCCAACATCAAGGAATCTCCCCTGAGGGGGGGTTAATTAACGAACTTTACTGCTTTCTACCCCTTATTATTAAAGAACTTTACTGCTCCTCACTCTTCGTTGTTAATTAACGAACTTTATTTCTCCCTACCCTTCATTGTCAATTAACGAACTTCACAGGTCAACATAATTCACTCGTTCAGTTGCATCACTGTACGTAAACTTTTATTGTCTTTCACTGTTATTATATTTACAAGCAAGTGTTTAATACGAATGGGTCGTTCACTGTGCACTGCAAAAGTGTCAGTAATAAGGGTCTTGTCAGTGGGGGTTCATTGAGTGGGGTTCCCCAGTAAGGTTCACCCACTGAGAGGTTCATCGGGGACCATTAAGGTCCCCGATGAGTGTGGGTTCCCCATTAAGATTCACTAATGGAGTTCACTGAATGAGGTTCCCCATTAATATTCACCATGGAGCAAGGTTCACCACTGAATGGGATTCCCGGCAAGGTTCATCATTAGGTGGGGGTCCCCCATAAGGTTCACCATTGAGCGAGGTTCAGTTGGAGCGTCAACAACCGTCACAAGCACCAACATCAGCACTACTAAATTGCTGCATCCGCTCCACTCTACTGCCCGGTGCACCGGGCAGGGTACAGTAGGTACAGGGAGTGTTGGAGGAGGGAGTGGTGCTAGATTATTATAATCAAAGAAAGCGCTAAACCGACAAGGTTCATGCAGTGGTGGTGCTAGAGAAGGTAGGGGATGCCTCAGGGAGGGAGGTAGCACTGGAGAATGGAAAGAGGTGGTGGTGTTGGAGAAGGGGAGAGGTGCTGGAGGGAGATAGATGGTGGATAGAAGCGAAAGATTAACGTACAGGTAAAACGGGCAGTTGCCTCAAGGGGCCCCCAGGTGAGAGGTGGGTCCCAGGTATGAGAGTGGGGGAAGCAAGGGCTTTCGGGTGAGAGGGTCATGTGTGTCAGGGAAAGCCTCATTCCCCTCAGGTGTGAGGAAGCCTTATACCCTCAGGTGTAAGGAATCTGTTGAACTTATTTTCTCCATAGACATGTTTTGTTTGAGTAATTATTATTATAATCAAAAAGAAGCGCTAAGCCATGTTTGGGTAATGGCTTAACTAGTTCCAATCTGTATGGTTTTACTTCAAACTTGTTTGCTGGTTCAAACAATAATTTTTAAATGATCCCACAAGTTTATTTAAGAGGGAATCCATATTGACTTAACTCATTAATACCTTTCTCTATAATTTATGCATACGTGTCAAGTCTTGTATATTGATGGTACTTTATCAAAATTAAGCACTAAATCCAGATGTTGCATTCAGGTCTCAGGTTATTTATAGTAAGTAATGAGAATTGTCTGTACTTTCATATAATGTAGGCATAGTTCTGGCATAATGACTGATTACATTTGTATACTTGTTTACTAATGACATGTGTGGCATAATGCTTTTGCTTTATAACACCCGATGGCTAATGAAAGAAAATGATTTTGCCCATTAGCACGTGGACAACTGTGGCAAGTTACGCGATTACAAAATCATATATCGACTTTGTCCTGTATTCCTCCAGGGGTAATATTTGGTTCACATAATTTGTGAAACGTAGATGAAGATTTTGTTCTCGCAATGACTGAAGTGTAACTGTGTACTCAACGTTGTATATATAGTATTTTTTTAATGTTAGGTAAGACACATATGCAACAGTTAGGTATCTTTATTTCGAAACGTTTCGCCTACACAGTAGGCTTCTTCAGTCGAGTACAGAAAAGTTGATAGAAGCAGAAGATACTTGAAGACGATGTAATCAGTCCATCACCCTTAAAGTTTTGAGGTGGTCAGTCCCTCAGTCTGGAGAAGATTATTATTATTATAATCAAAAAGAAGCGCTAAGCCACAAGGGCTATACAGCGCTGCAGTCTGGAGAAGAGCATTGTTCAATAGTATGAAACAATATGGAGATGAAGTGGCAGGATGGAGCCTTATATAGCGCCAAGAAGTGAGACGTAGGTCACTAGAAGAGGTAAGAACTCAGATGTTGGGAGGTCAGGTCCCTCTCAAATCCAGCCGTTCTCACTAGTAGAGGTTGTCGAAGTTGATTGTAGGTCTGTACCAAGATACCCTTGTGTTGCAGTGTCTGACAGATTGAACATTAAAATGGTATAAAATACCGACAGGTTGTTAGGTAAGACACATATGCAACAGTACATACCTGGGTGTTAGTCAGCTGTTGTGGGTTGCATCTTGGGATGATGGGGGGGGAGGGGGGTAGTATACCTCAGATAGTTGGGCTTTGAAATTAGTCAATTTGCATCAGTAGTAGTACTTTTGGCAAGCAGGGCATTTAAGTGTGTTGGGGCTCTAAATGTTAAAAGTGAATTCTGATAGAGAGAACAGTATGTTAATATATGGAAAGAGGTGCACCAAGCATCTTTCTGGTTGGTATTGTTTGGCCAGTTCATTAACGTAAGAGCCTAGTTTCCTATGCTTGACAGTGGCGAGATGATGACATGGAGTAAAAACAATTTATGTGATGAATGGTTTGAAAAACCGACAAGTTGAAGATTGAGACACTTATGCAGTATATGGGAATCTTTATTCAGGAAACGTTTCGCCACACAGTGGCTTCATCAGTCCAATACAAAGAGGAAGGCGCAAGGAGAGGAGGAGTATGAGGTAATCAGTCCCTCAGCCTGGAGTCGATGTGTTCAGTCCATTAATCTTGTAGAATGTACAGCGTAGGGCCGTAGACGTGGCTTATATACTGTAGTGAGGTGAGGTGAAGCAGGCGGAGGCGGGGTCATAGTGGTACCATCCACTAGTCATAAGAACATAAGAACATAAGAAAGGAGGAACACTGCAGCAGGCCTGTTGGCCCATACTAGGCAGGTCCTTTACAATTCATCCCACTAACAAACATTTGACCAACCCAATTTTCATTGCCACCCAAGAAACAAGCTCCGATGTGCAAGTCCCTCTCAAATCCAACCCCTCCCACTCATGTACTTATCCAACCTAAATTTGAAACTACCCAAAGTCCTAGCCTCAATAACCCAACTAGGTAGACTGTTCCAGTCATCAACTACCCTATTTCCAAACCAATACTTTCCTATGTCCTTTCTAAATCCAAACTTATCTAATTTAAATCCATTACTGCGGGTTCTCTCTTGGAGAGATATCCTCAAGACCTTGTTAATATCCCCTTTATTAATACCTATCTTCCACTTATACACTTCGATCAGGTCTCCCCTCATTCTTCGTCTAACAAGTGAATGTAACTATGCATTTATCTACATTGAACTGCATCTGCCACTTTTCTGACCAAGAGTAGAGTTTGTCTAAATCCTCCTGAAGTTCCCTAACATCTACATTTGAATCAATTATCCTACCTATCTTCGTGTCATCGGCGAATTTGCTCATATCACTAGTAATTCCTTCATCAAGATCATTGATATATATTATAAACAACAACGGGCCCAAGACTGATCCCTGTGGAACGCCACTTGTTACTGATCCCCACTCGGATTTAACCCCATTTATGGACACTCTGCTTCCTGTCTGTGAGCCATGATTCGATCCACGAGAGCACCCTTCTCCCAATGCCATGAGCTGCTACTTTCTTCAACAGTCTTTGGTGCGGAACTCTATCAAAAGCCTTACTAAAATCTAAGTAAATAATATCAAATTCTTTATCGTGGTCAACAGCCTCAAAAGCTTTACTGAAGAAAGTTAATAAATTAGTTAGACAAGACCGGCCTCTTGTGAATCCATGCTGAGTATCATTAATCAAGCTATGCTTATCGAGATGGCTTCTTATAATTTGAGCTATAATTGACTCTAGTAATTTGCCTACAATTGAGGTCAGGCTTATTGGGCGGTAATTTGACGGTAATGACTTGTCCCCTGTTTTAAAAATAGAAATTACATTAGCCATCTTCCACATATCAGACACTACACCTGGAAATAAATGGTATAAAATACCGACACAATGGCAATATAAACACAAATGCAGTATAATGTGATCCTTTATTGACTACGTTTCGCCCACACAGTGGGCTTTTTCAAGTCACAAACAGAACTACCTGGGGTGGAAGGAACGCGAGTATTTATAGTCCGGCTGAGGTCAGGTGAAGAATGCTGCATCTGATGATGTACCGAGTGGGGTTATAGAGTCTAAAAACTTGGGTAGCTTGGAAAGGAGATAGGATAAGTTTGTGAGCAGACCTTCTACAGTGTTCTTATGTGGGATAGCGATGAAGAAGTTTCTTGGCAAGTGGTTCAGCAAGTGGTTCAAGAAACTTCTTCATCGCTATCCCACATAAGAACACTGTAGAAGGTCTGCTCACAAACTTATCCTATCTCCTTTCCAAGCTACCCAAGTTTTTAGACTCTATAACCCCACTCGGTACATCATCAGATGCAGCATTCTTCACCTGACCTCAGCCGGACTATAAATACTCGCGTTCCTTCCACCCCAGGTAGTTCTGTTTGTGACTTGAAAAAGCCCACTGTGTGGGCGAAACGTAGTCAGTAAAGGATCACATTATACTGCATTTGTGTTTATATTGCCAGACACTACACCTGTTTGAAGAGATAAATTAAAAATATTAGTTAATGGTTCACAGAGTTCCATTTTGCATTCCTTAAGAACCCTTGAAAAAACCTCATCAGGACCCGGCGACTTATTTTGCTTCAGTCGGTCTATCTGCTTCACAACCATTTCACTAGTGACTGTGATGTTACATAATTTATCTTCTTCTAGCCCACTATAAAAATTAATTACTGGAATATTATTAGTGTCTTCCTGTGTAAAAACCGAGAGAAAATAATTATTTAAAATCGAGCACATTTCATTCTCTTTGTCAGTAAGATGCCCATAGTTATTTTTAAGGGGACCTATCTTATCTCTGACTTTTGTTCTATATACCTGGAAAAAACTTTTTGGGTTAGTTTTAGAATCCCTAGCAACTTTAATTTCATAGTCCCTTTTAGCTTTTCTTATCCCCTTTTTAATGTCCCTCTTAATGTCAATATACTGATTCATAAGATGACCTTCACCTCTTTTGATACGCCTATAAATTCCTTTCTTATGCCCTAGTAGATATTTCAGCCTATTATTCATCCATTTTGGGTCATTTCTATTTGATCTAATTTCTTTATAAGGGATAAACGTTCTTTGAGCAGCATGTATAATGTTCAGAAAACTGTCATATTGATAGCTCTCTTCGTTACCCCAGCCAACAGATGATAAGTGTTCTCTAAGCCCATCGTAATCTGCTAAGCGAAAATCTGGGACTGTTACTGAGTTATCCCTACTATCATACTTCCATTCAATGCTAAATGTAATTGATTTGTGGTCGCTAGCACCCAGTTCCTCTGAAACTTCTAAATTATTAACAAGGGATTCATTGTTTGCCAGAACTAAGTCAAGCAGATTATTACCCCTTGTAGGTTCTGTCACAAACTACTTCAAAAAACAATCCTGAACTACTTCTAAGAAGTCGTATGATTCTAAATTCCCAGTCAAGAAATTCCAATCAATATGACTAAAGTTAAAGTCTCCTAGAATTACTACATTATCGCGCCTTGTGGCCCT